CACCTCGGCGGTTGCCGATTAACGGACACGGAAGCTCTGGGAGAGCTGCCAGGAAAAGACATGAAGAAAGAAAGCAAGCTTGTTTGTTTGTTTGTTTGTTTTAAAAAAAGCCCCTGCTCTGGCGAACGGGTAATGTTGCACAAAGAGAGGCTGGCAAAAAAGGCGGCGGCGTAAAGCCCAAAAGTAACAGATTTCACCGGGTCAAGATCAAGGAGATCATAGGAACAGGATAACAACTGCTTAAGCGAGATAAAGAGTTCGTGCACTGGTTTACAGACCCGCTATTATGTTGTCGCCCCTGTAATGTGTGCCTTTATTGTGGTTGCGTGACTGGTGGCAAAACACCTCAAAACTTTAAAATGCTGCCCTGGCCCGGCCCTTCACTGCCGGGAAACCTCGCAGCTGCCAGAGGTCGTTTAATAGAAAAGGGCATAGTACTGATTTTCTTGCGGGTCCCAGCGTTTTCTTTGATCATTTGCATCATCTGTAGACTTACAGAAACATTTCATTAGGTTTTTATCTACTCAGCCACTTCTCGAAAAACAGGCAAATGTTTAGTGCTTCACGTGAAGGGTAGGATTTCCAGTGTTTACATAACCTGTCTGATTTCTCCCCGTTTCTTACGTTTGCCTTGCACTTGACACGCAGACCCACTGCAGGAGGAGAAGGCAGAGACACAAAAACCAAACTTGAATATTTAAAAAAGCAAATGAAGGCTGCTTGTAGGAAGACTTGCTTTTTAGGCAAGCAAGGAAAATAAGAATAATTTATTGATATTTTGATCTTGTCTTGTTAATTTGTTACTGTGCACACTTCACTAGTGTGTTCTTAGTTACTGTCCACACTTCATGACAGTGGTCTTAAAATGCATTATAAAGAAAACATATCTTGATAATAATTTGAGTAACTATACACAAACTAAGACCAGGCAGGATGTTCATAAAACTATCCTGACAATTTTTAGCAGGGATCTTTTTCTGTTTAAAATGTATAGACTTTAGTATGTGTGCAATAGGTCTAATGATTACTTGAACTCCAGTGCCAACATTTAGAAGTCACATACAGAGCTGGAAAACAGAATTTTCACTCCCCCAGAAAGCTCAATATTTGAAAGAAATAAGCCATTTTAGAACAAACTCTCTCTCTCTCTCTCTCTCTCTATATATATATATATACATATACGTATGCATAAATATATTGGATATATAATTTTAGAATATTTTGTTTCAGAACATCTCAATTAATTTCAGTTTTTGATTAGATTGTGATTTGATTAGACTGAGATTTGATTAGATGTGATATTAAATATAAAAGTGAAAACTGAGCAAATTAAAAATGGCACCATTGCATGGAAAGTTTGGATTTTTCTCACATGAAGTTTTCGTTAAGATCTACATGTTCCTGCAACATGTTTACGTTTGCTCACGTTGGCATAGTGTAGGGCAGGGGGTGAGAAATCGTTCTGTGGGAAGCATTTAGAGATTTTATTATTTTTAAAAGTAATCTTTTGAAAGTATTATGTATGCACACACACTTATTTTAAATGACAGGTATCCAAAAGTGCAGGCTAAAATGCAAGAAGAAGTGGATAGGATTGTTGGAAGAGACCGTCTGCCATGTACTGAAGATCAGCCTCATTTGCACTACATCATGGCTTTCTTGTATGAATCCATGCGTTTCAGCAGCTTTGTGCCTGTTACTATCCCACATGCCACCACAACCAACACCTTCATAATGGGCTACCTCATTCCCAAAGACACAGTGATATTTATTAATCAATGGTCAGTGAATCATGATCCAGCAAAATGGTCCAACCCAGAAGATTTTGACCCAACGAGATTCCTGGATGAGAATGGATTCATTAACAAAGATCTTACTAGTAGCGTGATGATATTCTCATTGGGAAAACGTCGGTGTATTGGAGAGGAGTTATCGAAGGTGCAGCTGTTTCTCTTTACCTCCATACTGGTGCATCAGTGCAATTTTACTGCTAATCCAAATGAGGACCCTAAAATGGACTTTACTTATGGGTTGACCATTAAACCTAAGCCATTTACTGTGAATGTCACACTTAGAGATACTATGGATTTGCTTGATAAGGCTGTCCAAAGACTGCAAGCAGAGAAAACAGCCAATGAAAATCACCCATCAGCAAATGCCTAAGCACCAAATCTTGCATCTAAAGATACTCCCTCTCTCTTTTTAGACTTAAATAACTTACAGTTTGTTCTGGTGATCTTTTTGGAAAATAGACAACAAGATACAGGAGCAGGAAGGAAAACTGCGCAAGTCATAATTCAGTCCTCTTTTTTAATTCTAGAGGCAGAGCCAGAAGCATTTAATATATTAAATGATAAAACATATGCAAAAATATGCAATTTGAAAGTAAGGTTTTCCTTTTCTAGCCTGTTCACAGAAGTTATAATTGTAAAGCGTTTTTTGTCTGCTGACTGGTTAGAGCATTTCCAGGAACTGTTTGTACAGTCCTTTCCATGTCTCCGTGCACTATGCCTTAACTCTAAGCTCGCCTTCAGTGATTCCACATTCCAAAGTGAAATCTCATATTCCACAAAAAAAAAAAAAAAGCGCACTCAGAACATTGTAGCCTCCCTCTGAGTTCACTCTTTTGGAAACTGCCATAGGCATATGGCAGGTCCTGCGTTGTGACTGCTGGGGTGTACATTAATGCCTCCATAAAAAACTTTCAAATACTTTTGATAAAAGGCCAATGTAAAATCTTGCCTTTAATATGCCAGAGTGTTTACACATATGACTAAAAAAAATAGATTTGCTTATGAGCACAACATATTTTAAAATAAAATTCATATTTTATATGAGAACAGAGTGTCCTAATCCAGTCACTTTCAATACGTATTGAAAGGAAAGATCAGAACTGGTATGTCACCAGTTTTCTCCAGTAAAGACGTGAATCCCTGCCCCTAGGCACATAGTAAGTCCAGTTAAAATTCAAATGGGCCAGGATTTGTAGAAGTGAGAATCTGGGGGGGGGGGTTTATATTGAAACTTCAGTGCCAAATGCCTCAAATAATGCACATAGCAAAAACAACTCTCTAGTTATTCTATTTAGATTGAGTTGAACGGTATGTCCAGACGTTAGTTATGTACTTTTAGTATGAGTTATTTAAAACAAAGTCACAGAACAAAAACTAACATTACATATCCTGATTAATGTACTGGTTCACTAAAGAAGAAGTACTTCTAAAACTTTTGTGAGGTAAAGAACGTCAAGTTAAAAAAATAAAACTATTGTTTTAAGGTAAAACATACACATGAAACTTTATGGCCTTGAATGTCTGGTTAATGTTTGTGCACACGAAGCTGCATATATTTCTCTAAAATGTGAACCATCCCACGTACGTGTCTGATTTCAAAAAGTGTTGGACATTTCTGAGGAGCTACAGCTAGCCCTCAATTATATATGAAACCTGTCAGAAATAACAGTACCTCACACGCGGCTTGCTTTACTCATCCTAGTACAAAATAAGGCCTTAGCAGCCCTAGAAAATAAGGGCACAAGCCTACAATCTAAAGTAGCTCTGCTGAGACCTAAGCAAGTAAAGATTTGCAGGACCGCGTCTTCTGATACATGGCCAGGCATAATTATGTTGACAGCAGTGACAGAACTCATACTGACAGTGATAGGAGCTAGATTAATGACACAATCCTGATCTTCTTCAAATAAGTAGAGACTTTGAGACTGATTTCAATAAGAACCCGAATCAAGTCTAAAAGTACCCCTCCCTAACCCCCCATAGTAGTAATGCACTTATTTAATCTCTCTGACTTCACATGGCATCTATTCTCTTTTTTTCAAAGCTAAAAAAGCTTTGTTACCTACACAAGGAGTAACCTCAGGTGTTCTTCTGAATTATGTACAAATCTGTGATATCCCAGAACTTAGCCTATACCTGTGAAAAGCTTTATAAGATATCCAGCATTTTCGTGTGGAGATCTACATTAGATCAAACGCTAGCAAGACATTTTTCCTTGTACCTTTGTAAGCATCATTATTGAAAAAAACATAAAGGAGGTAACCTACAACGGAATAGTTATTCAAACTCAAGGATTACTGTTTTATATTTCAGTAAAAAAGGCTTTTGCAATTTTGTACTCTCCCTAAAGCTTTAACTATGCATTGGCTACTAATGCAACTTTCATTCACACTGCTGATGTGGTTTTGTACTGATGTCTGTCAGTGGATCTCACACATTACATAGCTGATGGTGAAATAATGCCTCATATAATCCATAAAGTTATTCGAATTTAGTAACACCCATTTAGAATGTATGCAGTTGTTCAGTGAGATAATTTCTGTGATTATTTTGAGACGAATCAGTGTGTTACCAAAATACTAAATAAAATTATTCTTGTACTGCCTTTGCTTAGTTCACGTGTGACTTTTTAACATCAAGAGAAACACAATTTTTATTTTTGATTTGGAAAGTATCATTTTAGATATTCTTTGTTCATACACTTATTCTTTCTTTATTCAGGCTTCTCGGGTCTCCGTTTCGGTTCGCACCTTGCCATCTGTATTCATGTTCCTCGTTCCCCTTTGGATCAGAGCACTCCCTGCTTCTGCTTTGAGCATCTGTCTGGATTCCCTCATGTCTTTTGCTTTCTTCTAACATCTGTTCACCTCTCCTCAGCCTTCACAGTCCCCTATGTTAGGTTCTTCCCTCTAGCATTTTAGTTTACTTCCATCTCCCCCGATTTCATGCCCACAAGCTGCTTTTCCCTTCTTTTTTTGCCCTATATCCAGTGCTGGCATCGATACATGCCTGCTACTGTATCCACATCACTGCCCTTGAGACCAAATTCCCTCACTGTTCATGCTATTTTGGCCTTGGTGTATAGTCAGGAGTGGGGCAGGAATAGTTTCCCCAGAGTGCCAGGAAGGAAATTTCAGGGCCTTAACATGCCCCTAGTGCAACCTCTCACAAAGTCAAGGCAATCCTGCAGTGAAGGGTGGCCTTATTTGCATATAAAACATTTCCTCATAAGGCAATGACCCCCTGTCTGCATTCTCTCCTCCCCCCAGGTCTCTTACTCTGCAAGCCTGCTTACTTCAGACGTATCTGAGAAAAGACCTTCACAGTCATTTAGCCATGAGAAAGTGATAAAAAACTTCTGACTAACAGTAGTTTCCTACTGATTTGGGACACTTTTATTTTCCTGGAGTTTCTCCCCAAGGGAGCAGGATTTTAAGTGTTGGCCAAGCTGGTGAAATTGGAAGGAGCGCCAGCTGAAGAAGACCTCCTAGAAGCAGCAAAAGACCCGTGGAGTAAGTGGAATGTCCAAGGACACCCCATGCAGCGTATGCGTGGCTGGGGCTGACTAGTGAGGGACACGGTGTGAATAGAGGGCAGGTGTCCTCCCTGCTGCCAAACCCAAGGGCAATTTAATATCGTCAAGAGATACTGCAGTGAGCTGCCAGCCACACTGTCCCTGCTTCTGGTTAATTTGTAGGTATTTTTCTGCTTTACCAGCTGTCTACAGCTGAAGTCTAGACTCCCTCTTCAGCATTGACAGGCATGTTTTTACAGCAAAAACTGCTGCTTTAGTGCAAAAAGATTCTTGTGCTGATGCAGCTAGGAGAAGCTGGCCTGAAGAAGGCATTCTTGGAGAGATCCGTGAAGATCGCTATAAATACTATAGTATTTATAGCAACTCAGTAAGCAACTGAAAGTTTCTGATTCACTCACTGTGAGCTAGTACAAATTGTAAAGGAAATAGAATAAAGGCTAACAGGGCAAATCATCCTGAAGCTTTTTAAAAATTCTATATTTCCATTTTCCACCTATTTCGTTAGAACAATTGGTAGAAAAAAACCCACCATTTTCAAAATTGGGCAAGGTCATATTTCACAGCAAGTCATGCTCATCTCATGAGATTTCAAGTTTGCACTGTCACTACCTCACCAGCCTGTGACTGGATGTCACCATAGCAATACTTGACAAATACATGCTGCTCTTCGGGAACTACTTTGTGAAATACACACAGTTCAAATAAAAACAGTTACAGAAACAATTTATTCAAGTCAAATGTTTTTCCTTTAAAATCTTGATGTTCAGGTTGTAGTGACTTCAGTGGGCCAGGAGAACTCAAGTAACATCTTTCGTTCAGGCTAGGATGAGTGACCAAAAAAGACTGGGAAGTACAGGGACCACTTAATACAATTGTAAGTTTCTTGGAAAACCAGTAGCTATCAGACTACCCACTACATAACACAAAGGGGAAGTAAGTTGGCAGACCTAGCAGAGTTGATAGGGAAGGCATTTATGCTATTCAAGTGTACCATTATATTCCTAGTAAAGCCAATACTTAAGCTTACTGGCTTTAGCAGAACACAGTTCAAAGTGGCTGGAACAGATGACAATGCTCTTCTTGTAGATAAGTGTTTTCTCAGAAGCTATTGCTAAGAACAAGACTCATCAGAGCTTGAGAAACAATCACTTCTGGAAAGATAAGAGGTGGGTCAGTCCAGGAGCTGTGGATCAGGTATGAGTACCAGTATAGCATATTACTAAATGGAAATTCACCACAACAAATTGCAACTGTCTTTGCATCAGATCCATTGTTTGTTTGTAAGTGTCAGGGCCTGATGGGTAGGTCTGTCTTTAGAAAATTGGTTCCCATTATCCAGGCAGAGCAACTATAAAGACTAGACAATCAGGAGCTTACATTTTACCAGAGAGAAGTTGAGGAATTAGCCACTGAAAGTGAACAGTTAAGATTTGTCTCTGCTGCATCCCTACCTTGGTCAAGTTTTATTCAGACTTCTCATTCACCCTGAAAAAGAATTCAAGTTAGCACAACACCTGGACCTGGCTGTTTGGTGGAGGAAGAAGGGATTGGATTTTGAATGCAGTACAACACAGATGCCATGATTCAAGTTTCAACAGCTTCTCTGCTGTTTACTGCTCTGTATTTTTTCAGCTGTTTTTTCATGCTGCAGTGACTTGTACTCAGACCAGGCCAACTGATTAATTGTCAGGGTGAAAATAAGCTTGGCATAAAGCATGAACAGCCACAGAGCATTTAAGATGGCTCTAGCTGATGCTTTGATAGCCCTTCTCTGGGGATTTTTGCAAACTTTTCAGTCAGCTCCACTAACCAAAACTATTTCTTGATTTGTTAGTGTTGCTCTGTCCTTCAATACTTAGGGAGAGCTTGCTCCAGCCTGAAAGGACAAATCTAGGGCGATCCAAAACAAACAACAGTCTCCCAATATTCCCTCCATTCCTTTTCCATGCTGGGTGTCTGGGGATACTGATCCATTAATACAGTTAATTTCAAAGACATAGGATGTTGAGCCAATTTCAACCATGAATGTGTGTGGAGAAGGGGGAAGGAATGCTTAGGGACTTATGAAAGGTACAGAAATCAACTGCGGAGCTCTACAGAGTAATTCGCTGGAGTGGCTGAGAGCTAGTGGAGGAAAATGTATGTCTAAAGCGTGGGAAGACCCTCCAGCTAGAGAGGAACCATGCACGAGGGCTTGGAGCTCCACAGAGACAAAGGTGGTGGTTTCACATGGCTTGTGCATGCAGTGTATTAGAATTAGGATTATAAACATCCCACATGATACTAGAGCTGTTAACTCACATCAGCTGCAGGGAGCAACTGGACCAAATCCTACCATTGCACCAAGCAGAAGACAGAATGAGCGATTATTTTCTTGAAAACTTTGAACAAACTAGGGAAGTCCAAATACTGACTCCTCACTGCCCATTAACTTGAGCAATAGGTTCGGGAGGTAGCAAACATGGAAACAAGAGCTGTGGAACCAACCAGGAAGGATGACCATAGTGGCTGTGCCATGCAGGCTGCAGGATCTGCAAACAGAAGGGGTCCACAAGAGGGACCCATGGAGAGTCTTTCATTCCCCTCCTTACCCCAGCTCCCCCTGCACCTGAGGGCACCGGGGACAAAAAGACACCCCAAAAGCAACAGTCTGACTGGGGAAATTTTCC